GACTTCACCTTCATTTTTGTAGACACTCAATTAGTAGTAATAACAAGACTTTTACAGTCAATATAAAGAAGTGAATATACAAAGTGCTTTGTTTTAACTGGGTACTGACCACTCTAATCAAATAAATGTACAAAGTTGATGGATATCATTTGGAGAGAGCAAATCAAACATGGAAAATGATCAGTAAAGAACAGGTAACTGATCTTCTTTAGCTTGTGCACAGTAAATCGAGAAATTAAAAACTGAATTCTTAAAAAAAATAGTGAAAATATTTCAAATTTCAATAACATATATAATCGTGTATAATCTTCATGTATAGTGCAACCCCTGAATTTTTGGCATTAATTTTAAGCCCTCCAGAAAAATTTACCTGTGCATGATTTTTAACCTCTACAAAAGTAGCTATGGTTAAATGTAAATAAATGGCAGAATTGCCCAACAAACAGAATTGACAAATTTTGCAATAAACAAGAAAAAGAAAAGAACAGGGTAAAAAATAATATAAAGCAAACAAACAATATATTCAAGGTGAATTAACAGTAATAAGGCAAAGCAACAGTAATTGGAATCTATTAACACTGAACTTGATAGGTTAGAAAACTGCAGAGTGATTGAAAAAAATAGATTATTCAAAATGAGCCACGTAAGCAGTTTATATTAGAAAGAAAAATAACAAGATCCATTTATGTGCAGATTTTTCAACTGGATTGAATGACTGCCTCCTACCACATGCATATCCCCTACCTACCCCAGAGAATATATTTGCCAAATTAAATGGTGGTAAATTTTTTTCAAAAGTTGGCCTGTTTGAGACCTATCTTCAAATTGAAGTGGATGAGGAAATCCAGAAGTATCTAACTATTCATACATATAAAGCACTCTACAAGTTTAGAAGATTACGTTCAGGGTAAAAGTAGCCCTAGGTATTTTCCAGCAAATAATGGATACAACGTTAGCTGGATTAGACAGTGCTGTTGCCTACCTAGATACGTATTAAGGCCGCTATGAAAATACAGCACGTAAAGCTGATTTAGCAAGTATTTCAGAGACTACATGGTTATGATTTCAAACTCAGTGAACAGAAATATCAGTTCTTTATGAATAAGATTAAGTATTTAGGAAATTGTAATCTGACTGAAGCATTGGAAATAGACCTATGTTGGAAAAAGTATCAGCTAAAGAAAGTGCATATCTAAAAAGGTGGCTGTAGTGGGGATGAACTCATCTCTCCAGAATATGACTTTGACATGTCCAAATAGCATATATACTGATGTTGAGAATTGCCAAAATAGAGCAGGCTTTATATCCTTACTACAGAATTCAGTAAGACTATGTTGATTCCAAGCGACATTTTATTTCATGATTGTGTTATCTTCATTCAATTGAATGAAGACATAACAATTTTTTTTTTTTTTAAATAGTGTTCAGTTATTGCTTGCCTCTTCTTTACTACCCAGCCCAGGTATTGAACTCACAATTACTATGCCATCCAATTCACAAGGCATTTGATTTCAATATTTTTTTTACTGCCTGCAAGAGCAGCAATACAAAAAGCAAATATTTCCTATTGAGGTAAAAATAAAATTACAAATTTGTGGATTTAAGCATTAGTTTTAATTATCTCATTGAGCAGTACTAAAAAGAACATTTGAATCCTGATACTACCAAGGCAATGATTTCATCGTAAGTTATGGTGCTTACATATGTCCAATTTTACAGGAAATGTCTTCGAGGGATTTAGATTTTTAAAGATTTCTTAAATAATATTAGAAATATTTCTTCTGAAAAAATTAATAAAAAGTGAAAGATAACCCCAAGCGCCAAAAAAACTACAGTCATATTATAAATTTTTAATATTGGAATTGGCACATTATTATAAAAGTTTTAGTCAATACATTGTTAGTGACCCTGATTAAAATTGCTTTAGGTTGACTCCACAATCCACATACCTGCCCATTCATATATTAGGCATTCTGAATAATTGAGATTATGCACCAATTATATATTATCTAAAAGCCACACTGGGAAGTATGGAAATTTAAGAGAGCAATAAAGATTATCTTATAACTTTTCAGCTGCTGTGAACATGTCTTTACAAAAGTTACATTGCCTGCTGTTGACATTTATATTTAGGCAGCATATATTCCTGCAAGCATGTTTGGTTGAATAATCTAGATATATTATGTCCATTTATTTTTATTTTAATCCTCTCAAGTTCATGAATCAATTTCTTAGTGTCTGTACAAAATTGGGAAAATAAAAATAATATTGATAATTACAGCTTTTTTCTTGATCAATGAGAAATTGCTGTCAGCATTTTAGTCCTTTATTTGTAAATGGAAATTTCCTTTTTTTTTTTTAATATGGGCCAGCACAGCCAAGCATCAATGCTATAACAATGCAGTAGTGAAAGTGTTAACTTATAAGTAAACAGTGTCAAATTTAGTGCTGTATGAGAATCTGAATTCAGAAAAGTTAAAGGATCAAATAATGGTCATTAAAGTCTTCCATATATTGTGCAGCAAATGAAAAAAAAAGAAATTTAAAGGTTGGTTTTACACTAAATATTTAATTTTCTTTTAAAGCCCAACTCTAGAATTATTTTTCAATGTCATCTCAAAGCTGTGATGTTTGGATCCATGAAATGTTTTTCTTGGAAAAGAGAGAAGAAAAGCCCCCCCCCCCACATATTGGACAATACTCGAGGATTACTGAACACAACACATATGGAAAAAGCTGAAAAGTACACCAGCTGAAACAATGTATTTTTAATGCTATGTTCCTTAAAAACACAATCATGACTCCACAGTGTCCTTTTGTTTATTATCTGTGAATCACCCTGGGTTTTTTGTGAATGTCAGGGTGGTTTCCAGTTGCTTTCTCTATCGTTTAGAATTCAAAATTTTCTTTTTTTTAGACTGTTTACCATCCAAGACTCAAGAGCTCAGTCAACTCTGCTATTTAACCCATTGCTGGAAGGAGGAGAGATTGATTCATACTTTTGCCAGAGTCATTAGTGTGAAAGTGAACGCAACTAACTAGGCTGGGATTTGAACTCTCTTCACAGATTCTATTTTCCATGATGATAACTATTAAACTACCCAAAAACATTTTGTGGAATAATGGCAATACTATGGCTGAAAATTTCAGAACAGGAACATTACTTAAATTTTAACATTGAACCTGCTTGATGACAGAAGCAGTTACGTATTTGTTAGCGGTTGGTGTTTGAATCCAAATAAACCTCCCTTGAAAGGGTGGCGCAGTATAGTTTTCTACCCAATGTGTCATTAATTTAATATCGGTGTGTGTTATTTACACTATTTACATTCTTTGAACTGTTGTCCTCATCTTTTTTCCATATTCACGGCCTTTCGGCCTTCCTCAGGTGATTGGAATTTTGAACTGAACCTTTTATTTCATCCACTGGGGTAGATTGTTCTAGTTCCATGTGTCACGCCTCTTCTGGATGTCTCAGTTATCTCCCTTTAACTCAACCCCCCAAGTTTTTTTAGCCAGGTATTGAAGTCACAACTCTTTGGGTGAAGTCACTGGATCTAAATAATGCTTTTATCCATTGGGCTGGGTGTCCTTGAGTTGTGAGTTCAATACCTGGCTACTGCAGTGGTGAACAAAAACTTGGTTTGGTTTGTTTTGTTTTACGGCATATCAACCTCAATGGGTCATTTAATGCCAACAACTTTTTTTTTTCTGGTAATATTTTTGTTTTTGTCAAAAATCTATTTCTGTTAATATTTTTTTCCTCAAAAATGTATAGCTGGTAATATTATTTTTTCAAAAACGTATAGCTCATATTATTTTTTCAAAAACGTACTGCTGGTAATAGTTTTTTTCGAAAACGCATTGCTGGTAATAGTTTTTTTTTCTTCAAAAATTTATTTCTGGTAATAATTTTTTACAAAGTATTTCTGGTATTAAAACCTATTTTTACACTTTTATAATGCTTTTTACCTCAGTTTCAGGGTTAACTATTTACCCATAGCTGGGACCCAAACTGGTGCTATCACCCCAGGTCAGGATAGACCTGGGAACACCAGCAATTAAGAGAAGGTTCCATGCTCCTCAAAGCCTCCAGATCAGAGGCCTTGCTGTTGGACGTAGTTTATTGCCTTACCCTGGACGTGGATGTAGTTTATTGTCATACCTAGGACGGACAAAAACTTGGAGAGTTGTGCTAAAGGGAGATAACTGTGACATCCAGAAGAGGCGTGACATGTGGAACTAGAACAATCTACCCCAGTGGATGAAATAGAGGATTCAGTTCAAAATTCCAATCACCTGATGATGGTCGGAGTGTACAATAGTCAAAACATTGTGAATACGGCAAAAAAGATGAGGGCAACATTCTGGAGAATGTAAATAATTTTAATGCAACATTTTTATTAGTGCAAACATTATTTTTAGTGGATACCTGTATTTAAGGAGCTGCACCATTTATTTTAAAATAGTATTTTGTCTAATGGCTTGCACACTTGAGAAGACGTATCCTCTGATCTTCAGGTGAGTTTGGTTAATATATAAACAAAAAAAAGCCTGAAAATCCAGTTGCTTGGAAGGGTTGTTATATATTTTTAAGATAATATTTGTGTATGTGTGTATATATATATATATATATATATATATATATATATGTATATATATGGGGGAAAATATATGACAAAGACTACCTACCTCAAGAAAGGTATAAGTTTAACATTTTCCTGTCCAACAGTGATTTGAAGCATTATATTTTAAAAAAATAATGTAACATGATAACAGTCAGAAAAGCAAAGAGAGATCATGCCTCAATTATTTGAATGCAACACGTACTAATATCAATTGTCTAAAGAAATTAATCATTGATGTTGTTGTGATTCAACTGCTATTCCTGCAAGCCTATTACACATCCGAGTGAATGTAGAAAATATTGCTGAAATTGTCCTTTAACTGAAAATGTGATTCCTTAAAATATCTCTCTCAGGTGAACTGTTTTGACTTACCTTAATTTGGAGTCCTGTTAATAATCTTTGGTAGGTCTTTTGACAAACAACCAAAGGTGGTATGGATTGGTTGACTTGTTGAACAAGTTTAATGGCTTCCTTAAATTGAGACAGTTGCTCACTCTCAATAATGAAGTGGATGGTGGCACAAGCCAGTCGAAGGTGGGAGACAGGTAGATTATCTAAAGAGCCAGCATGTCGAAGGCTGATTGCTGGCAAAGAAAAAAAAGTCATTTAAAGATAGTAGTTAGATTTGATGTAATAAAAGTGAAAATTTTAGCACTCGCCAAAAGGTTTTGCCAATAGGCAATAAACAAAAAAAGAAAGAAACATATGTACAAGATATTTCAAGTGCTTCATGATTTAATTGATTCAAACCAAAAGACAAGGCCAACAAAAAAAAAAAAAGACCAAATAAAGCCATATATATATATATATATATATATATATAATATGAAGATGTTTAATTCAGGGCTTTGCATGTGGGTAAGAAGATGATGCTGTACAACTATGTAGATTTATCCCCCTACAAACTCCTCTTCCATCTACTCATCTCAACATGTGGCTGGCAATAAGAATGGATAGTAAAAAAGGCTAAAAATAATGGAAGCATTATTAATAAAAAAAGAAAAGCCAACACACAATAATATCAATTATGAATATGGTTGCAACCTAATAGGAGAAAATCTTTTGCCTAATCAGTCATGAATTGAAAGAGACATCATTGCCCAGTCGTGTATCACTGACTGACTGATGATAGGATTAGAAAGGAGTTCTCTCCTAGGATCTCCTTCTGGAGAAGGAAACTAGGTACTTTTCCTGATGAGACAAAGTGAATGCAATAATCAATAAAAAGTGCTTAGAATTAGTTAAGGAAAAGGGAATAATATTCCCTGAGGACAATGTGAGACACATGATTCTTTGATGACAAGGCAAAAATTGTCATTACAGTTAAGTAGGGTAATTTTCAACTATTCATAATATTCACCAGATGTGGAACCTCCGGATTTTCATTTATTCTGGACTTTACTGTTAATGTTTCACTATAATTCTGCTTGTTCCTCCATCAGTTAACATGTGTGTTATGCTCTGAAATAGTTTGCTTGTCCCCTTCCAAAAATTTTTGGTACAGCAGCAGCAGAGTAAATCTCTAATCCTTTTTTTTTAATTCCAGTTAACCTTACTATTGAAGCTGTATAAATGTGTTACTAGAAATAAAGATATAAAAACAAGTCTTGTAGTTAGTATCTGCTTATATCACACTCTACCATTTACATTAGATAAAAAAAAATACTATTCTTTTTTGTTTGTGAGGAATGACAGAAGAAAAAAATATCAGAAATGCCATCTGGTTTTGTAAATGAAAGAAAAGATAGCTGAGATAATAACACTCTCATGCATGTAATTTCTGCTTCAGTGAAACAGAAAACCTTGACAATTTTGAATATTTTCATTTGTATGCTCTTACTTCTTTAAATATTTACCTCTGGGAAAGATCAATGTGAAAAAATAATACTTTGGAATTTTTATAGGTTTCTGCTAGTTATTATTTTATTTGAACATTTCTGAAATGTTATTAAATAATAATGAGGTTTTAATAATTGAGAAAGGTCAAGTTTAACAAAATCCAATGGACAAAATTATTATTATGATACGCCATGAGCAGACATGAATGTATATGAGAGATTCATGGAAGATTGAAGTTTAAATACAGTAAATTCAACCTTGCTAACTGAACACACCTCTGTGATCAAATCAGTAAAGGCACGTCAAGCTAAATGATGGTTGCATATAGAATACAGGTTCAAATCCTGTCGGAGGACGAATATTTTCTGTGAAAATTCCTCGGACATTCAGGCTGGTAAATACTGTTTATTATAAACAGAGCATTTACTTAAATATTTGTATATATAAGAAGAATGTATAAACATAAAATGTCTTAAAATAATTGTCAGACTTTGTCCATTTCATAATGTGTGACGTCATTTGTTTACATTTGATACGCCATGAGCAGATATGAATGTACGTGAGAGATTCATAGAAGATTGAAGTTTAAATATAGTAAATTCGACCTTGCTAACCAAATGCACCTCTGTGGCCAGATCAGTAAAGGCATGTCAAGCTAAATGATGGTTCTGTATAGGATACAGGTTCGAATCCTTCGAAGGACGAATATTTTCTGTGAAAATTTCTCGGATATTCAGGCCGGTAAATGTTGTTTAATACTGTTTATTATAAACAGAGCATTTACTTAAATATTTGTATCTATAAAAGAATGTATAAACATAAAAATGTCTTAAAAAAATTATTATTTTTTTTTTTTTTTTTTAAAGAAAAAATGATTTTTTCTTTTTACATACTGACACTTTGCATTTAGTATTTATAGAAGGAATATGAAGAAATTATTTGATTGCAATATTGGAACATGTCTTTTTACCTTCCCTCTCCTTTTTTGGCCTTTCACAATTGAAGAGATCCATCTATTAATTATGTTATAATGTTATCAGCTTTTGATAAGAGAAAGTGATACATCAACCACTTGACATTTGAACCTAGCAAACAGACTCTACCAACTGTAAATATATTTATCACAAAATTTAATGTAAAAAAAAAAAAAAAAAAAAAAAATCCAGTTAATTAATCGTTCATTCATCTAATTTTCTTTAAACCAAATTTCTATGAGACTTACTTTGTTTTTGGAAGTCTTTGGTTTTTCTGTTGACAGACCTGCTCATTATGATGAAGGGTAAAGGGTACTTAAAAGTGATGTAGTGGTTAACAAATTTGTATTGTTAGGTCTATTACGACAGAGTAGGGAGTTTGACACTCATTGAGTGCTCCATACTTTAGGCCTTGTACCACTATGCTTACTAAATCACAAGAATGCTTTGATGTGGTTTAATAGTTAGCAGGCTTGTCTTGTTAGAGCAATTATGACTGAGTAGTGAGTTTGATCCTCACTAGGTGCTCCATACCTGCAGCTTTGTAGCACATCAAAGCTATGCTTTGTAATTCATTATTTTCAGGCATTTTGGCATGGTGTAATAGTAAATTTATCTTGCTTGATCAATTATGACTGAGTAGTGAGTTCAATCTCCACTAGTTGCTTCATATTTTTGACCTTAGTTTCTTATAAATAGTTAACCTATGTATATAGCTACTTGGTGAGCATGCCTTGCAAAATTTACTTCTGCAGTTGAGAAAAATACTTTTCCAAAGCAGAAGCCCTTATTGTGAGCTTTTCTCCATCTCAGTCCAATGTATTTTGACTTTTAAAATGTATCAAAAAGACAAGACAATAAGTGCTTCAGTTTCTCTCTAAAGTGATAGGTCACATTATAAACAAAACTGATATGCCTTGATGTGAATGACTGATTTGTGTTCTATGGCTTATCAACCCTTTGTAGGTTATTTAAAATCAGAAAATAATTTTAGAGTGTAAGAATTTTTTTGAAGATAATAATGATTTAGTGATACAAGTCTTATTACCCATAGCTGTGGTGGGGAAGGGGAAAGAAAAGGTGGATTCCTACCTTTCCCAAAGGTATTTGTGTGTAAGTGAATATAACAAGCCCAACAGGAATTAGCTCTCCGATTAACAATTCTGAGCCATTATCCATTACAACACATGCACAGCGAAATTTACAGCACCTGGTATTCCCAAGCGGTCACCTATCTAGGTTCTGATCAGACTCAATGTTGCTTAACTTTAGTGATTATACAGGAAATAATGTTTTGATGTGAATGAATAAATCCAACTTACCATGAATAATTGGAAAGATCCGATGATAGCAAGCATAATCCAAAATCCATCCTTGGAATTCTTCCTTGCTGACCATTTTTCATTAAAACCTGGCTAGATATTTGTCTTTTTAATCCTTAGAAGCACTTGATACTAATGACATTTGCTTTCTGCTTCCATCAATTTGTGAGCTGTCAAAATCTGAAAGGAGATTGAAGATTTTAAATGAATTTGTCATCCAACATGAAAGAATCACAAATTTTAAAATTGTTAAGAATTAAAAGGCAAATGAGAAAAATAATCAGTTTATGTTCAGACTTATGTTAATCAGTTCAAAACTAAAAACTAAACAAATGCCAACCTACAACATTAAACATACTACCCACAGATCCATTAATCATTCTAGTTATATTGAAAAACTAGATTAAAATAACATTAAGCTCTCAAGTCAAAATTAGTGTTGGAATATATTTTGAAAGTTACAAAACCAACTGACAATATTCATTAAAAAAAATAAACCTCATTCAATAATTTAAAAATTATTTCTTTTTGAAATAAAGCAGTTGTTTTCCCAATAATTTAGCAAATAATAATATAGCAAATTTTCATGAATTTATCCTATACCTATAGTATAAGACAATTGCTTATTGATTATATAAAGATGATGTTATTGGAAATGTTGTTGCTTATTGTATTCTTAGAAATTCAAAATAAACGAAATGACTAAACTGATTATTGGATAAAGGCGTTGGTTAGATCCAGTGACAGGACCCAAAGAGTGTGAGTTCAATGCCCGGTTAAGGCAGTGGAGAACTTTCAGAGGGAAATTAACAGGAGATAATTGATAACTGACATCCATCAAACATGGCACGTGGAACTAGAACAGTGAGCGAAATAAAGGGTTCAGTTCGAAATTCCAACCACCTGAAGAAGGCCGGAGCATACAATGGCCGAAACGTTGTGATAAATATGGCGACAAAGATGAGGACAATAGTCCGAATAATGTAAATAATAAACCGATTATATATTATGTTTTTTCCTACACACATCCCCTAAAAGGAAAACCATTGCTTTGTTTATGTTTCATCATGTGATCTTTTGCGAATAATGATTCTTCTTCTTCTTCCTTTTTTAAAGTTTTAAATCCAACTACTGTAAAAGGATTTTTATTTGAAAAATAAAGGTTGTATGTAATCCTAAATTGTGTTATTATTTAACACCAAAATGCTAATGAATTTTTAACGGGAAATGAATATTATGTTATCCTAAATGTTATTGCTGCTGTAATTAACACTACCATGATGGTTATTGAAAGTTTAGAAGAAAATAAAGGTTGCTGTGAACATAAACATAACTTGATGTTTACATTTCCTCAGCTGAGCTTGCAAGTTGATTTTATTGATATGGAATTATTATTTGAATAGGAAATTTATTATGAAGTTATGGCAGTATAAGGTAGAAATGGTTTTATTATTTTTATTATCAGTTTATTTGATAATGTGAATTTTTTCATGTATATTATTGGTTATTGCAGCAAGATCAAAGTTAGCCTACCAACAAAAATCACTCAGAATTTAAGGTTTCTTTTTTAGAATTGTAGTAGAAGACAACCCCCAATTTTTAAGGGTAATTTAGGGGATTTAAAAGTCATTTTATATGTGGAAATATATGGTATATGTAGTTTCAAATGAAAAATCTTCAAATTTTCAATGTATGTGTCAGTGGAAACTTACAACATAAAAAGAAACTTAACAAATGAAAGTGTTAACATTTTCGAATGGAAGGTGATAATTTTTCTGGCATTATTAACTATTTTGTATTCTATTCCTAAATTGTAAAGATGATTTACAAAAGTTCCACATTTTTTTCAGCTATTATTAACAGCAAATATCTGTCACAGTTGTTAGCAGAAAAGGCATACCAAAATTTGAGCTATACATTAGGGATAGCAAAGACAAATAGGAATAGTAAAAGATGTCTTTCAGAAACTAAAAATATTAATAGATGGGAAAGGTAAGCCAAACTGTTATGTAATACCTAATCTCCTATATGGCAGTGAATATTGGACAATCTTCTCACTGATGAATGAGGCTTGAATTGACATGTGATTTTACAGACAAATAATGAGAATACCATGGTCAGAGCATGTGAGAAGCGGGGAAATTTTAAAAGAATAGGTATTACAAAGAAACTGATGTTTATGATCAGAGAAAGAAACAACTGAAATTTATGGGACACATAATGAAGAAAGAGAATTTAATTTTGTTTGTGGGAATGGTTAACAAGGACAAAGAGGGATGGTAAAGAGTCAAAAGTTACTAGGAGCAGCAAAAACAGGAAGTTGGGGAAAGCCATGATCACTCATAAAAGAACATGGAATATAAAAGAAGAAAAAGGATATTAACTGTAGAAATGCTGAATTGACAACATAGAAAAGGAACTTAAAGTGGAGTGTAAATTCAGGTGAAATAGTTTGCTTTTAGGAATGGCTGGAATCTAATCTCAGTAGATGTGGTTAAGGATTACTGCATGTTGCCCAGTGGGTTCAACAATGTAGAGAAGCTAACATTTGTGATTTTTCAGCCTCCTGAATGATTTTCAACTCAATTATGGAACTGAGTTAATGTTATTTGTACTTAAATGGAAGACAAAACTTTCACATTTCTAATTAAAAAATAGGCCTAGAAATCCTGATCTGAAGTAATGAGCTAAAATTCCCAAAAAGAGCTTAAATTTTGCATTTAATCCATTTAGACTTCTTATTGGGAGATCTTCAATACTAAAAATTGATTCAGCATCCCCAAAACATAGGAATAGAGGTCTAGATCATGATTTTCTGATAACTACAAGGAAAATGTTAGAAATTGATATTTGATCCCCAGAATATGGTGCCAGAATCAACTTTAACACAAGCAACTCAAAGAGAAAATAACATAATCAAGATGTTGATATTCCATGCTACTTCAAACTAAAGGTTAGGAAGGAAACTTTTATAAATACTGAAAAGTGTGGTAACAGCTACTGGACATGCAAAACATATTTTCCTGAAAAATTGTTTTAAGAGAAAGATTTGATAAATTTCAACAAACAGTAGTGGAGGGTGGGACTGTAATAGTATCTAATATTTTATGTATATAATTTTAATTTAAATCTGATAAGAATTTTATAACTAAATAATTCAAAACCTGTAGAGAGTATAAGTGGGTCAAGAAACAGAAATCAAGTCAGACTGATATCTATAAAAAAATAAAAATCTAATTTATTTATGCACCTTCCCAGCCCATAAATAAACTGGAATTAGCAAGTGATCAAGTTTTATTTAAGATTGTAGACAAAAAAGATATTACAAATTTTTTTTTTTTTCGTTACGGTATAAAAAAAAAATAAAAGAGACATATCTGGATTTAAAATAGTGTCTTTAATCAAACTTATAAAAAAGACTGCTCTCAGAAGGTTTGATTTATTTTAAGTAAAGTTTGTTTGGGTCACAAAGAAATAAACACATTGTAGGAGTAAATTAGAATTTTTTTTCACCAGTTAGAAAATAATAAAAAAATTCTGTGTCTTTCATTACTCCATCCGTCTCACCCCCTAAAATAGCCATACATCAAATGATCGAAACCAAATTCCAAATTTTGGGGAGAAGTGCAAGCATGTAAGGTGGGGGGGATGTAACAAACAGTTGGTTTTACTCAGGTGTGTAAAAACTGCAAAGTAGTGTTTTTGTCAACGTATTTTTCCAAACAAATCAGCTTATTCAAATTTCAGCGCTTAGTTTGCGAAATTGAACGAAACATAGAATTTGTAAATCTCGACAATGTTAGTGATAACTTCAACAATACTTAATCCTGGGTAAGACAATAAACTACATATGGCAACAAGGTTGCTGATTGGGAGATTGGAAGTTTTCAGGAGTGTGGAACCACCTCTTAATGGCTGTTGTTCCCAGGTCCATCCTGATCCAGAATGGTAGCACCTGTTAGGGCCCCAGCTATGGGTAAATAGTAAAAATATCAGTAATACATTATTATATAAAAAAAATTACCTATGATACATATTTATAGTAGAATTACCAACAATAAATCTTAGAGCAAAATGACCAACAGTACATTTTTGTAGTTGGAACTATGTTCACAATATTTAGATTTTGGCATTAAATAACCCATAGAGGTGTTGATATGCAGTTAAACAAAATTAACCAAACCAAAACAATAATGAATATGAGGATTTCAATACATTGACGCGTGTTGCAAAAACATTCTAGTAATAACCCCCCCCTCCCAAAAAAAACTGGAGTTGTACAATGGTAGAGTTGCACTGTGACAGAGACCAAAATAGCCAATTTTTTTATTTTCCATAAACACTTTGAAATTCGTAATCTTGAGTCCTCCACAGTAATATATGATGAAAAAAAAAAAAAACTCCCCATTACAAATTTCATTTTTTTAAAAAATATATTAAGAAATCACGTGGTAAGCATATTTTGTTTTGTCTTTCGTAGGGGAAAATTAATTTTTACAATACATAGCAAACTGGACACTACTATTAACTTTTATAATTTTTAATAATTTATTTTTTATATTCGTGATCTGGAAGGCTTAAATTCTAACTCAATATGAAAAAGAAAAGAATAATAAATACTTCTTGTCGCAGTGCCTATTGTTATTGTACAACTCCATAAGAAAAAGGTGGTGATCTTTTACCAAAAGTCAAAACATAGCAAGTGAATAAAAAAACGTATCAACTGAACTAAGATGGCATAAAATTAATAAAATAGACACAGAAGACCAATTAGGACTGACAGAAACTGTAAACATCTCTAATTGTCGTAAATACGTACTGAATAATAACAGTCGGAAAGTTTAAAAAAAAAAATGTCAAAGTTTGTGAAGTATTATCGTCGTGTTTGAAAACTAACCTTTATTCTTTTAAGTTATTTTCGTATATGAAAAACATAAAAATATAAAAGTGAAATAAATAAAAAATGCTAAAAAAATTATTTGAAAAGGAAGTGAAGTGAAATTTCGGTTTATTTCTTGCTAACCAAACATTTAAAAAGAACCTCTCAACTGTAAAAAAAAAAAAAAAATCCGGGGA